TAGAAATTAGAGTGCACACTGTTCTTGAGGCTTGGGAAAGATGTGGGAAGACCTGGGTCCTGGTTGTTCTGCTGCCTCAGGGCCTCTGCTGCTCAGCCACCCAGGCCTCTTTCCTTTTCCTGGTAGCAGGTTGCTTAAGCCTCAGGGCCTTCAATGGGTCTTGACCCTTGTCTAGGCCTCCTTGACACTGGGCTGCAGGTGGTCAACACCTCAGGTCTTTGTTCTGATGTTACCTACTGCATGGAGACTCCTGTGACCGACCCCCCCAGCTCCTGTAACACTCCAGCCACACCCTGCCCCACCTCTGGTCCATGCAGCCTACTTTGCATATTTCTTTCTGTTCCTTCACCATCTGCTGTCTGGATCCTGGTAAGAACAGGGTTCCAAGAGAGGGGCAGAGCTAGAAGGTGGGTAGTGGGCTGGGCTTGCCCCTAATGGGGGTACTTAATCCTGGGTTCCATGAGAGTCCGAGTCATTTTGCAATAATTCTACTAACTGGATGTGCCATTCAGGGGTGAGGATGTTACCAGTTTTAATAATACTGAAAAATAGTTGATTCTCTTCTCTGTGCAGCATTGAGAAACTGGCTCTGTGTCCTCCATCCTGGGGGCTGAGATCAGCCTGAGATCCCAGGAGAGGTGAGGGGGCACTGTGCTGTCGTTCAGTGTGGTCAGGGCCAGGCTATGCCCTGAAGGGAGCCCAGTGCTGCCCAGCTCCCCACTGCTGCAGCCTGTGTGTGCTTCACCAGCAGGGAACCCAGGCCCAAAGAGAGGAGTCACAGAAGTCTCCTGTGCGCCTTCCTGCAGGAGTTTACTACTGTGCCTGGGTCACTCTAAAGGGGTGGGCAGAAGGGGACCATCTTCTCACATGGTGAGGTCCTCCCTGTGTGTGTGGCTGTGGCATAGGAAGGATGTGGTGATTCTGAGCCTTAAAGAGTATGTTTCCTCCTTCCAGGATTGACTTGTAGACTCGTGTTACCTGAGGAAACAGCCCTGAAGAGGAGGAGGAAAGAAAAGGAGTCAGGAATGGCTGTCACTGAGGTACAGTGATCTCTCAGGTGGTCCTGAGTCCCCTGTGCAGTGCTGGGCCTGGGAGCTGCTGGCCTCAGGTGACTCTGTGTGGCCTCCTGCCTGTCAGGTGTGCCTGCACTCCCCGGGTCTCCCTTACCCCATCCTCTGCTTAGATTCCATCCCACTGTGACCTGGTGGCAGGGAACCCATGAGGAGGTGCCATCAGGTGTGGCCCTGGGAATCCTCTGTCATTTTTGTTGATCTTTTAAAAAAGTGAGTGTGCTGTTTGGTGGTGTCCCTGTCCTCCACACCAGTTCTCTCGCTCTATTGCTCATTGTTTCCTGCCTTTTGCTTCTGTTGCCTTCAGTTGGCTCTTTCCCCTGGAGGTGTATGGTTAGTTGACCTGGGTTTCTTCTTCCTTGTTGTAAAGTTTCACTACCCTAAGGTCTTTCTTTTTTTTTTCTTTTCTTCGTCACTGCATTTCATGAGTTTTGGTGTATTTGTTTTTATTTTGCTTTTGTTTGAGATATTTTCTGAATCCTTTTCCTGTTTACCATTTGTTGGTTAAAAATGAGGTGTTTCATTTTCCCTTATTTGGGGGTGTTAATTTTTCTTCTGCAATTGGCTTCTGTATTTATTCCATTGTGCTCAGAAAGAAAATTGGGGTCCTTTTCAGCTTCTGAAACTGAATGTTAAGATTTGTGACCTAATGTGTCTCAAATGAAAAAATAGACATGTGTAGTACCTTAGTGGTAAATGTCCTGGTGTCCGTCTTCCACAACCAAAAAAAAAAAAAAAAAGGCGGGGATTAGGGGAGGGGGCGGGGCTGGCAGTTTTACTCAGTGGTGAAGCACCCAGGTTCATTGTCCAGTACCATAACTAAATTTTATGAATTTTTATGTGAATTGTCTACCTTCAGCCCCAACTTCTGGTTGGTTCTGCACAGACCTCTTTTTCCTATGGACTGCTTTGGCTGCACAGTGTCCTGCAGCACAGTCTCTGAGCACAGTGACTCTGAGCATCCTGACTGCTGTTTCTTTCTTTCTTAGAAATTGAAATCAGGCCCTTCTACCATTGAGTTATATCCTCAATCCCTATTGTCTTGTTTTTTTTTTCTTTTTTATACTTAGAGTCTTGCTTCATTGCTGAGGTGGTGTTGAACTTGTGATTCTCTTGCTTCTTCCTCCTGGGTCTGGATTACAGTTGTGTACCACTGTGGCTGGCTACTATGTTTCTTGTGTTTTCTGCAGGGGAGAAATCTGTACAGATTTAGGCAGTATCTTGCCTTAAGGAAAATTAAAATAAAACACAACTAGGAGATATAACATTCTCAGAAATACCAGAACATATGAAAACACAGGGAAAGCAAGCTCAGTTTCTCCTTATATACCCTCCGCACACAGAAAGCTTCTGTGATCCCAAATAAGTGAGGGATTTTGCCCATATGCCAAGAATGCAGTTCTTCAGAGGGCACTTGTCATTTCACCTAATTCAGACACTGTCTGTGTTGATACATGGTGGATCCCACCAGCTGAGGTCTCTGTCCCACAAAATGGGCCCCTTTTCAGAGGCCTGCAAAAGTATGGCCCATGATTCAGAACGACTTTCTATAAATGGGGCTTCCTTCATCCCCTCCTCACATGATGATAATTCAAACTGGGAGATGTCTTACAAATGGTTAGAGTGCTTTGTAAAACTGTCAAGGACTTGACTTGCATTTGCCTTGTGGTAACGCCTGTTCAGAAGATACAGGTGAACACACACATGGAAGAGGTGCATAGGCCAAGGTGTGGGGCAAAGGACGTGGAGCTCACATGACTTTGTGTGCTGCGACACCCTCCCGGACCCTCCACCCACGCGTTGATCTGAACACCCTTTCACCCCGTCCTGATGAGTTTTTTGGAGGCTCCATTATGTAGGCAGGCTTGATTACATCCTGGGTGATGGTGATCAGTTGGGACTTCAGTCCCTCTCCCTTCCCTGGAGGCAGGTGGCAGGACTGCATGTTACAACTGCCTCTCCTGCCTGTGGCTTTCTGGGGAGAAGCCCCTTTGTGAAGCTCTCTAGGGGGCTTTGGCACCTGTCTTCTCACTAGCATAGAAATCCTTCTTAGTTCTCCAGGGATTCCAGGTGAGCTCCACATCAGCAGACAGACAGATACCAAATGTGTATTTACAGCCTCACAGTGCAGCTCTTCTCACTTGAATCAGTTGCATGCTTACACTTCTCCTCCCTTCTCATTTCTCTTTGTTTACTTCTTTGCAGTAATGGGGTTGAACCTAGGTCCCCTCTGCCATTACATCCCTACTCCTTATGTTCTTCATTCTCAGAGAGGATCTTGCTATGTTTCCCAGTCCCACCTCCAATTTACAATGTTTCCACCTCAGACTGGTGATAGCTGGGATACAAGCATGTGCCACCATGTCTGGGTTCTATGGTTCACATTTTGCATCAAGATTGTAACTGTCCCCAGTGCCCCATTGTGAAGTCTGTTTTAATTTCAGGGTCCACTGACGTTCAGAGATGTGGCCATTGAATTCTCCCAGGAGGAGTGGAAGTGCCTGGTTCCTGCTCAGAGGGCTTTGTACAGGGACGTGATGCTGGAGACCTACAGGAACCTGGTCTTTCTTGGTGAGCTTGACTTCCCCTGATGCTGGGATCTTCCCTGAATATCGTAGCATTTCCCCTTTGTCTTTGGGATTCTGTACATTGACTGACTGAAGTCCTGTTGCCTGTGAAAGACGCTCCACAGTACATCCTCTGTACTTTGTTCCCTTTCTTCAGATGTTCTGCCCCCTTCATGATACTGCAGTGGTGCTTCCAGAGCTGAAGCACAACATAAAGCCCACAGCCAACTCTTAAAATATCCAGTTCCCTGTTTTCTATTTCTGTGCTTTTGATTCAGTGGTTCTCAGAAGAGAGGTAGATACCTACATGATATAGTGAAATATTTTCTGTATCCCTCTGTAATGTCCTCTTTCTCATGTACAGATAGGGCTGGATTGTGGAGAAGCCACAGTGCATCAGCTTCCTTTCTCTTTACAAGCAGGAATGTGTCCTTCAGACCTGAGTGTCCTCTCCTGGTTGGAGCAAGGGAGGGAGCCCTGCACTGTGAATGGCCCAGAGGAAATATCCAGGCCTGCAAATGAGTGGGCATGTGTGGAGGGTGTGAAAGCAGGTAAGAGCTCACATGGGCAGAGAGGCAGCTGCCCACTAAGTAGTGTTGGGGTGCTTTGGCAATGGGAGGGGTCAGGGCTAAGGTGAAGTCCATTTCCTGGGCTTTACATGCAAGGAATTTGGTTTCAAGCTCCACTTTCTCCTTTTCCTCCTCTGCTCCTTCTCTCTATTCTCCCTCCTCTAAACTTTCTCTATGTATACATGACGATGACATCCCCTTTGGTATCTTTATATAGTAACGTAACATGATTTTGTTAAATTCATTTCATTTTTCCTCCCATTCCTCCCACCCCCAATCTTCTCTGTGTCTTTATGGTATCCAGTCACTTCCCCAACTGCCTTTTCTCCTTTATTTTGGACTATTTTCTAATTATGAGAGCCACAGTTTAATCCTTAATTTTTGAGTCTGGCTTATTTCACCTCTTTCAATGTGTCTTTGCTACTACCCCACCAAAGAATTCCTTTTAGTGTCAAAGCAAACATTTCTCATAAATATGAACATAATCTTATAGATGCTTTATTATTTGTAGAAGAACCGGAAACAAACATTCCTCCAGCTCCTTACAAATGTAATGAGCTTGAAAAATCCTTTAATCAAGAATCACACCGTACTATACATCAGATAATCTGTACTGGAGAGAAACGATTTACTTGTGATATATGTAGCAAAGTCTTCAATAAAAAATCGAATCTTACAAGTCATCTTAGAATCCACACTGGAGAGAAACCTTACAAGTGTAATGAGTGTGGGAAGATGTTCAATAAAAGTTCACACCTTGGACAACATCGGAGAATCCACACTGGAGAGAAACCTTTCAGATGTGATGAATGTGGCAAGGTCTTCCGTAACAAATCCTACCTTGCAAACCACCGGAGAATTCACACGGGGGAGAAACCTTACAAGTGTGATGCATGTGGCAAGGTCTTCAATCAGATTTCACACCTGGCAAGTCATCGTAGAATCCACACTGGAGAGAAACCTTTCAAATGTAATGAGTGTGGCAAGGTCTTTAGTCGTAACTCATACCTCATTCAACATGTAATAATCCACACGGGGGAGAAACCGTACAAATGCAATGAGTGCGGCAAGGTCTTCAATAAAGAATCAATCCTTACAAGTCATCGTAGAATTCACACCGGAGAGAAACCTTACAAGTGTAAAGAGTGTGGGAAGAGCTTCAATCAGACTGCACATGTTACACAACATCGGAGAATCCACACTGGGGAGAAACCTTTCAAATGCAACGTGTGCGGTAAGGTTTTCCATCAACAATCAAACCTTATAAGTCATCACAGAATCCACACTGGAGAGAAACCTTTCAAATGCGATGATTGCGGTAAGTTCTTTAGTCAAAAATCAAACCTTACAAGTCATCGTAGAATTCATACTGGAGAAAAACCTTACAGTCATAATGAGTGAGGGAAGGTCTTCAATCACATTTCACACCTTGCACAACAAGAGAATTCACACTGGAGAGAAACCTTTCAAATGCAATGAGTGTGGCAAGGTCTTCAGCCTCAACTCAGACCTAGCAAGACAGCTGATGATAATTCATACTGGGAGATGTCTTACAAATGCAATGAATGTGGTAAGGTCTTCAGTTGCAATTCACGTCTTGCGTATCATCATAGAATCCGTACTGGGGAGAAACCTTAAAAATGCAGTGAGTGTGGCAGTGTTATTAGTCACAAGTGATCCCTAGCAAGTAATCAAAGAATCCACATTGGAGAGAAATCTTTCAAATGCAATGAGTGTGAAAAGATCTTCAGTTGCAACTCATACCTGACAGCATCAGATAATTCATAGTGGACAGAAGACTTACAAATGAAATCTATGTGGCAAGGTCTTCAGTCTGAATCATCCCTGAGACGACACTGGAGGATCTATACTAGAGAGAAGGCTTCGACATGTAATCACTGTGCAAGGGCCTCACTTGTGTTCCCAACTACGTCACAAGGAGGCAGGAAGATGATTGATGCAAATCCTGCCTGGCCAACATGATGAGACTGTCTCAAAATAAAATAAAGAGCTGGGGATGTAGCTCAGTGGTAGAATGATTGCCTAGACTGTTGAGTCCCTGGGTTCAATCCCCGCACTCCATAAGGAGAAAAAAAAAAGTACAACGAATGTTTTGAGGTCTTCAGTCAGATTGGCTTCCACATATCAGGCACTTAGGATGTAGAGAAACCCTGTGGATGTGATGAATGTGGCAAAGCCTGTAGGGTGCATCTGGCCTGGCCGATCATGTGATCCACACCAAGAGGGCATGTCAAGGTGTTCACTGACATTTCCTATCACGCAGATTGTCAAGATCTCAGAGAAAAGCCACAAATGAATTAGGCAAAGTCTCAGTCAGCATTCAAGCCATGTAAGACCACTTTATTACCTAGTGGAGAAACTATCTTCCACGTATAATGACTCTACAGAGCCTTTAGGCCTCATTTAAGGCTTAGAAACCCTCAGTTAGTCTGTGTTGAAGAGGAACCTCACCTATACATTGGATGCAAACAGGCCCGAAGTTAAAAGTCTGTCATCAGGATTCCTGCTGGAAAAAAAACTCATAAATGTACCAAGATGGCAAATGTTTGCTATGCACTCAGCCCTCTGTACACGTCAGGTAAGGCACAAAAGCATAATGACTTTGGCCAAGCCTGTCTTCAGTGCTCATGTCCCAGTGGACATCAGTTGATCCACACTGGAGAGAAACCATGGAAATGTCTGCAGGTGCCAAGCTCTTCTGGCACAGTTCACAGCTTGCACAACCTGGGAGAAGACGTCCTAGAGGTAGAGCTTGAATGCAGTGAGTGTGGCACCCCCTGCATTATGAGTTCAAGCAGTGGTCAGAGTCCATACTAAAGAGCAACATCCGTCACAATCACAGCACATAGCACAGACTTCCATGCCTCAGAACCAGTGGGCATCAAAGAGACACCTTTGAGGAAGCTGTGCAAAAGTCATGCCATGATCTTAAATCTAAGCTTTAAAATCTGGAACAGTACATGACCCAGAGAACTACCATCCAGTTGTAAGGAATGTGCTGCTCTTTTTTTTTTTTTTTTTTGGTTTGTTTTGTTTTTGCCAAACCTTTGTGATTTTGTTGTCCTGAGAGGATTTATTCTGGCAAAATCAGACATTGTGACCCTGCATAGTTCTTTCATCAAGGGAGTGTCCTCAGGATTCACCAGTGAGTCCATATGCTACAAAGGACTCTTAACAAATGTACTGTGTGGTACATTATTTCACCAATTCTCACACAATCTTCTATGTCAGAAAATTTATAGGAAGGATAAATAAGTCTCTGATTATCAAAGATTAGTTTCTGTCCTCGCATACTGTGGAAAAATTACATAATGTTTTATAACTAAGGACATATCAAAGGTGCAGGGACATTTGAAAAGGCCCAGTTATCTTCATGTTGTAAAGTGTCTCATTCTTCGAGATTTCTTGGAAAGTACCCTGCTCGTCTTGGGTTCTGTGCCTTCCTTATGGGACTTTCATGGCTGTGTCCAGAAAGGAACCCATAGGAGTATAGGTCTTACTTCGTGAAACGAAGATTCCTGGTGTCCTTGCTCCTGGAGTAGGAGGACACTGCCTATTAAAATTCAGTATTGCCTGCACCAAGAAATATTTCAAAGGGACTGATCAGGATGTAGAATTGAGGTATCGGTTATCCTGCCTGGGGTGGTCTGTGCCCCCTTGTCCAATTTGTCCATAGTGGGATGGGGTAAGGAACACTCTACAAACTGCCTGAAGTGGGACAGCCAAGACTGCAGGGACTGGGCTTTTTATCGGAGGAGAGGAGTGTGTTCTTCGGGCCAGATTATGTCCAGGAAGAATGCAGGGAAATGGTGGCCACTGCTGCATTTAATGGCCATAGCTGTTTAGCACCGTTGGTGACTAATTGTCTCATTCTTGGAATTGAGAAGTTATCAGAGAGAAGAGATGAACCTAAAGAACCACAACAGCACATGCTTCATGAGGATCCACCTTCACCTGCTGAGGTTACATTTGCTGCTGATTTATTCAGAATGTACCGTAGATTTCATATGATACTTAATAAAATCTAATCTTTCACATAAGTATGAGTGGATTGTGTTTCTTCTACAACAGTTTTGTTCCACCTCAGTTGGTTCTTTATACTGGAAACTTAACATTCACCATTAGATTCTTAAGGTTCAAAGAGATTTATAAGAGGGTTTTTTTTTTTATTTCCCTGGTGGATCAAACAACATATAATCTTGGGAACAGATAATCATGCTTTGCACCTGAGTTATTCCGTGCTCTGCCCTAGGGTAAGTATGTGGGTAGGATGGAAGGCTCCCAGAAGCTTGGTGTCAGATATGGACATCCAAGAGCCTGCGTCCTTGTTGATGAATGTGCATCTCATACTTCCTTTTCCTCTCCTCCCTCCACCAGCACTGGGCATTAAGCCCAAGGCCTCTCTACCGACATCTGAAGGATATCTCTAGCCCCTTTATTTTATTTTATTTTTTATTTATTTCAATCTTGGGAAAAGTGCTTGCTGAGTGGCCTACCCTGGTCTTGAATGTGGATCATCCACCATCAATCTTAATAGTCCTTGGGATTACCAGCATACACCAGCATTGTTAGTATGTTTCTAAATGCCTTTCTATTGTTGGCCAAGTAAGACACACAGAATGCACCTTTTTCCATAAAGCAAAAATAAAAATAGAGTATATAAAAGTGGGCATTAAAGGTAAAATAATGTCTCTTTTTTTGACTTCTATGTGAATAATTTGTTAGCATACATAATGGGATTTGTTAAGTTTGTTTTATTATCCTTATGGTTGTTAACTTGCACTTCTGACCACTGAGCTGAACTGCCTTAACACCTCCCACATTCTGGTTGGTTTATCAAGGATGCCAACCCCGGAGCCTGAAGTTATGTATCACACAATGAGGCTTGGTGGGGGTGTGGTACATCTAAGCTGACGTAGTCCCAGAGTTCAGGGAATGGTGCCTGGCTTGTGTTGTGACAGTGAGGCTGCGGTATGGGCACCTGGGTGTGCTTCAGACTTCAGCTGCTGCTGAGGAATTTATCATCTCCTTAGCCAGGGGGAGAGGAGGGACAGTGGTGACAAGGATGGGGTATGCACAGTCCAGTGTCAAAGGCTAGTCAGGGGCTGGGGTTGTAGCCTAGTGGGAGATCTCTTGCCTTCCATGGGTGAGGCCCTGGGTTTGATCCTCAGCACCACATAAAAATAAATAAAAATATTGTATCAATCTAAAACAAACAAACAAAAAAGTCAAGCTCTGTGGTCCCTGAATGTTTTCTTGGTTCTCCTTGCTTGTTGTTTGGGAGGCTCCAATTTCTTCATGCTCATGGTTTTCCATATTTCTTCTCCTGTCACACAGCTGCCATTGCACAGTGAGGTTGTTGGAAATGTTTTGGAAAGACTGCTTAGGTCAACCGCCTAATACATGTGTGTAGTACTGCAGTGAAGATGTTTGGAAATGAGTGATTTGTATGATTAAACAGTTTTACCAGAAGAGTATTTTTCCTGAGGGATAATATCTTACTTTCAGAGTATATGATATAAGCCAATATGTTGCATGGTTTATTTTTAAATCTAAATGTTTATTTCATAGTATGTATTTGTCTCACCATGTTCTCCATCACTGCAGTGCAGATCACACAGTGTATATCTCACTAAATTTGCTGTTCTAGTGAAAATGTTTAGGGGTACATAAATGGAGGTACTTCTTCATGACTGGATTTTGTGACATGGAGATGGTCACTAGGTGTGACTAGAGCTCTGCAGTGATGAAGGAGGGCCTGCTCAGTGCTGCATAGGGGCAAGAGGGCTGAGATCATACAGAATGGTGAGCTGAGGTCTCTCTGAGATGACTGAACATCAGCTCTGTGAGCTTTACCAGCATCTGGAGAGGTCATGGATATAGAATGGAAGATGGAGAGAAGGGCATTGAGATTCCAGCGGAGTTCCTGACAAGAGGCGATCTGTGGCCAGTCCCTGGCAGCTCTGCTGCCACTCTCCTGAGGCTGGCATTCCTACTCAGCCAGAGGACCTTTCAGGGAAGGATGGGGTAACTGCTCCTTTCATGGTGCACATGACACCCGATGGTCTCCCATTTGTTTGTTCCCATCTAGGAATATCTGGTATTTTTCTTGCATAGAGTATTGTTCATGTTCGAATATGTTTCCTATCTACCGCTTAAACTTAGAGGTACAATCCCTTGTAGAAATGCTATTATTCTTCTGCAGTCTGACTAGGAAACTTACTGTGTATAATGAAAATATAAAATGTAGTTCAGACTGACATCCTGTCCTCCCTGTTATGGAACATGCACTGTATCATATTTCTGAATGCCTCTTCTGTGCCAATGAAGAAAGGAACACGATTATTGTTCAAAGGAAATTATTAAGTTGCAATTATAGAAAAGAGACTAAAGGGGCTGGGGTTCTGGCTCAGTTCTTGCACATGCAAGGCCCTCGATTTGATCCTCAGCACCACATAAAAATAAAGTTATTGTGTCCAACTACAACTACAAAAAATAAATATTTAAAAAGACTAAATTTTACTACATGAGATTTTGAACAAAACTGCATGGAATTCACCTAAATACAGCAAGAATATGAAACATAAGAAAATTCAGGGAATAAGGATAAAAATATATTTTTATTCTTAAAGTGCTTGTGAGAGAGATATACTGAAAAGGTCAACGTACATGAGTTTCCACTTCAGAATGAACACCCAGGGTGGAATTTCTCTTGTTTGTGAAGTGGAAACTCATGTATTTGCCCCTAACATTTTTGCTAGTTTGCACTTGTGACCAGTCCCAACTCAGGGCTGAACCCCACCCAGTTGGGCTGGTTTGTCAGGAATGGCGAAGCCAAACACTGAAGTGTTTGCAGAGTTCACAGCATAAGGAGGCCTTCCAGGGAAGCAGGGTGGACTTGCTACACTTGTCCAGAAGTGGCTGCCTCCTCTTATGGGGGTCCTGGGTGGTGCTGGAGTGAGGGAACCTGGTCATCTTTAGAACTCCCAGCTGCTGCCCGAAGAAGGGAACACTTAGGGTTTATCAGCATCTTGCCCAGATGGCATCATAGAAAGGGAGTAGTGAGACTTGAAAGGTGTCAACAATAAACATCAAAATGGGTCAGACTCCAGCACAACCCTGAGTGTTTACTCCTGATTCTCTGGGCTCTTGGTTGGCATAGAGGAACTTACAATTTTTGTCATGTCAAATTTGCATTTCCTGATGCACCTGTAGGTCCCATTCTACAGTATGATTGTTGAAAATGTTTTTGAAATACTGTTTAGACAAGTTACCTAATGTTTGTATGGTAGTTCCATGAAAACTATTGTTTGTAAATGTTTGGTAGAGAATAGATATGGTTAAACAATTTTGCCAGGTCATTCATTGTGTTTGTTGCTGTGACAAAACACCTGAGAACAAGGAAGAAAGATTTGTTTTGACTCACGGTTTCAGACTCATGGGTTCCATCCCATGATTGGCTGGCCACTTGCTTTGTGTCAGTGGCAAGGCCCATGATGTGCTCATCATGTTGGAAGGGCATGGGAGAGCAATGCTGTCTACCTCGTGGCAGGTGCATAGCAGACAGAAGCAGAGGAAAGGGCTGGGGACAAGACACACTCTCCTGGGGCATGACCCCAGTGACTCACCTCTTGGTTCCCACCATCTCCCAATGGTGCTACTGGCTGGGGAGAAAACCTTGACCTTGTAAGCCTTTGGAGGATATTCCAGATCCAAACTATAACATAAAAGTGTTGATTTCAGGTGTGGTTTTAAGCACTACACTACATGGCTCATTTTCAACTGCAGAGAAAAGTGATCTTGTATGTGAATTTTTCTTGCCTTTATTGCTCCCAAACTTTGTAATGAGGATTACATATTTAGTATAGATTTGTTCTGTTATTCTTCGTGATAACTGTGACAAATTCAGAATGGAATCATGTCTGGCTGTGAAGGCAAGTCACTCATCCCTAGAGCTAAGCACAGTTACCTCTGTGCTTCAATTATTCAACATCTGCATTTTATTTTCTAGTGATTTTTTTTTGTTTTCTGCTCAACTACTCGGGCCTCAACCTGGGGCTTCATGCACGTGGGCAAGTGTTCTACAACTGAACCACACTCAGGTCCTGAAGTGTTTTTCTTGTATGATTTCTTAACACGAGGAATTAGAGTCTGTGTTCACTAATTTGGACTAAGTCCTCAACAGGTCCTCGCTTATGAATCATATGATCTTTCAGAGGTTTGAGGCCTTTGAATTATTACTTGGCTTTTCTCCACGTCCATGTGCCATCTCTCTGTTCTGAGTGTGAATTCACCCATATCTTGCCCCCCACATTTGCCTACAAGAATGGCATGGCACACATACCCTCATAGGACAGTCACATGTGCTGTACTGGCCAGTGACACCTGGGCTGTGTCTTAGCTGAGTTAGGCCATGTTCAGTTCCTGAAGGTCAGATAGGTCCCAGTTGGCTGTGGCCCACCCAAACATGTAAACCCGCCTTCTGCCTCAGGGTGAAGGAAATATTGGTGAGACGCTCACTTCACACAGGGAACCTAGGACAAAAACAGCTATGGCACTCTAGAACATGGCCAGGACTCTGTCCCACAGCTTCTCAACACAGTACTTCCAATCTCCTTGTCATTTTTCAATGGCTCATTTACGTGTCATTACAGTTGCAGTAAATTTGTATTGTCCATACTTCTACTTCAGATAAAAACTATGACCTGATATTAATTGCAAATGTACTCATTACCATATTAAGCTGTAAGAAAGACTATCAGGTCTTTCATGGGAAATACCTGGTCTCTGAAGAGCCAGTTTGTGATTCATTCCCCTCAATGAAGTGCTAACTCATGATTCAGTAATAGTCACAATGGCAATGCACACTTGTTGAACATATCTTGAGAACCTGTGTCCCACTGTTAATTTCCAGAAACAATTACAAGTTCCTAACTCATGCCACCAAAGACACACTGGAGTTGCTCTTTTCTACAATCTCTGCAGACTGGGGTCTGCATGGGAAAGGCAGAAAATGCTAACACGTGACCCTTGATGGACTGGTGATGTTGGAAATACGTTCATGAGCCTGTATTCTCTCTACATGTCGGCTAAAAAGTGTTACTTTTTCTTCCCCACACTTTCATCTTTAATATATTTGTATTTTCACTTTATATAAATCAAGATGCATGTCGTCTCACTTGGTATGTAAGGAAGGGCCATATAATATAGTGAATATTTATCAACAGATGCAGATTTTAGGGTGAAATATGAACCACTTATATGGAATTTTCATTGTACATAAGTATCCTAAGATAGGGTGTGAGGAGAATAACTCAATGGCAAATATAATATAGGTTCCCCAAACTGTATGATACCTGACTTCACACACCAAGTCTAGATCCCTCAACCTTAACTTTGGTTAGTTGCTGTTATGAAGCACTGACTGCACTGAGATGAATTAAAACTGTCGATCAAAGAAACAAATTACTTGTAGTAATGAAAAGATTAAATTTTATTAATTAAAACATCAGATCAATGATACATTGTACTAAAGCAGTGGCAAAATGTATGACCAGCAGTTAAATAATCCTGAAGGAAATGCTATTTTTTCTTTTTTGTCGAGCTTAGAACCCAGGGCCTTAAACATGCTAGGCGAGTACTCTATCGAGCCATGCCCCGAGCCCCCATTCTGGTTCTTTTAATTAGATTTTCCAGTCTGATAACTCTCAATTTCAAAAATAGGGCTAATTACTCTTCGGTCTTTGCTAAGAGTGCTATTGTGATTCAATGGAGCATGTGGTCCCCATTCTTTTGCATTCTATCACAGTCTGTCCCTGTTCGCCTGTGACTCTCATCCCATATGAGCCCCCAGGATGGCACATCCTTGGTCTGTTTTATTTTACAGTCGATGGAATGATTTTTGATTTTTCCTATAAACTACAGAAGGGCCTCAGGACACAGGAAGCTTGACGACTTGTATCCACTTAAAGACACTACTCTTTACCTCTTCCAGATGCTAATTTAGACAATATTTACCTGGAAAGGCAGAGCTTGTCTTCCCAGAAGTTGAACAGAATGACCCTTACCTAATGCAGTAAGCCCTCCCATCCTATGCTTCTTTCCCAGTGACCATAATAAAGGCCTGGAAGGCAGGCACAACGTGAGACAGGTTTTAAAGCCCAGGGTAAAAGTTACATATAGCAAAGAAGCCTTCTCATGAGACCTCAAATGACTGAATAAAGTAATTCTTGACCTGAAGATAAGTAGTTGATTTCCAAAAGTCCTTGCACCTTTGAGTCTTAACGTATTTTGACTTGGAATTACTCCACAAAATGTAGTGACCAGGGTTACCCATAGAGAACTAGAGAATTTCTTCAAGTAAATCCTCATCTGCAGGTATGGTCATCAGGTAACAACAGCCCAGTAAAGACCCTCCATTTGTACGGTTTCATCAATGACGTATTGCTGCTTTCCAGTCATCTGTGAGGCTGGACTGAAGCCTCTGTGGGGCACATTACAGATACAAGACTTCTTTCCATATGCTCTGGAGCCTACCAGTGCTTGCACTACTGTCTGTGCTGGGCGTGGACCCCAGGGCCTGGCATGTACAAGGCAAGTACTCTGCCCTGGGCCACACCCCAGCCACGGATCAACTCCTGATAGTCTTCCACAGTCACTGCGTTTATAAACTCTCTTAAAAATTAATGCACAGATGTTGTGCAAGGCAAAGACCTGGCTACACTCATTTGTAAGGCTTGAGTCCAGAGTGAGTTCTTCGATGACTTGCAAGGTTGGAACTTCGACTAAAGACCTTACCACACTCATTACATGTGTATGGCTTCTCTCCAGTGTGGACTGCCTGGTGGGTAGTCAAGCTTGAGCGCACACTAAAGGCCTTGCCACACTTATCACACTTGTACGGCTTCTCTCCAGTGTGAGTCCTCCGGTGACTTGCCAGGTGTGAGTTCTGGGTGAAGACCTTGCCACACTCATTGCACTTGTACGGCTTCTCCCCGGTGTGGATCGCCTGGTGAGTAGTCAGGCTTGAGTACACGCTGAAGGCCTTGCCACACTCTGTACACTTGTATGGCTTCTCCCCGGTGTGAGTTCTACGATGATTGGCCAGGTGTGAGTTCTGAGTGAAGACCTTGCCACACTCAGAACACTTGTACGGCTTTTCTCCAGTGTGGATGACCTGGTGGGTGTTGAGGTTTGAGTGTGAGTTAAAGGCCTTACCACACTCGTTACACCGGTATGGTTTCTCCCCTGTGTGAATCCTCTGATGAATTGCGAGGCTCGAGGTCTGGCTGAAGACCTTGCCACACTCATTGCACTTGTATGGCTTCTCTCCAGTGTGGGTCACCTGATGGGACGTCAGGCTGGAGCGCACGCTGAAGGACTTGCCGCACTCGGCACACCTGTAGGGCTTCTCCCCAGTGTGCACCCTCCAGTGCCTGGCGAGGTTTGAGGTCTGGCTGAAGACCTTGCCGCACTCATCACACTTGTATGGCTTCTCTCCACTGTGAACTCCTCGGTGACTTGCCAGGTGTGAGTTCTGGGTGAAGACCTTGCCACACTCATTGCATTTGTACGGCTTCTCCCCAGTGTGGATCGCCTGGTGAGTAGTCAGGCTTGAGTACACGCTGAAGGCCTTGCCACACTCTGTACACTTGTACGGCTTCTCCCCCGTATGAGTCCTCCAGTGATTGGCCAGGTGTGAGTTCTGGGTGAAGACCTTGCCACACTCAGAACACTTGTAGGGCTTTTCTCCAGTGTGGATGACCTGGTGGGTGTTGAGGTTTGAGTGAGAGCTGAAGACCTTGCCACACTCGTTACACCGGTATGGTTTCTCCCCTGTGTGAGTTCTCCGGTGAATCGCGAGGCTCGAGGTCTGGCTGAAGACCTTGCCACACTCGTTGCACTTGTATGGCTTCTCTCCAGTGTGGATCACCTGATGGTTGGTTAGATTGGAGCGCACGCTGAAGGCCTTGCCGCACTCGGCACACTTGTACGGCTTCTCTCCGGTGTGAGTTCTGCGATGACTTGTTAGGTGTGAGTTCTGAGTGAAGACCTTACCACACTCATTGCACTTGTAAGGTTTTGCTCCCGTGTGATGTCTCTCGTGCACCAAAAGATAGGAGCGCCTGAAGAAAGCCTTGCCACACTCAGCACACTTGTACAGTTTCTCTCCAGTGTGGATTCTGCGATGATGTGCAAGAGAGGAGGTGTAACTAAAGACCTTGCCACACTCGTGGCATCTGTAAGGCTTGTCCCTAATGTGTGCTTTGTGCCTTGGAATGAGCAATGAAGAATAAAGAAAGTCATTCCCGTATCCTTCCAGCGTTCCGACACTGGAAGGAACGCTTTGAGGTGGTAAAGCTGAAGAACCACTGTGCACAGACTTCTCCTCTTCACCACACTCGCTTTTCCCTGCAGACTGAAGCAGCTGGGGTGCAGACAGGCCTGGCGGAAAGCCCAGCCCAAGCCAATCACTCTCAAGCTTGCTCCCTGCATCCTGTCCATCACCACGGTCTCTTCCACCCATGTGGCTTCCTTTATGGATCATGGGCACTCTCTTACAATCTCCTTCACCATCTCTCCATGGAAACTGGAAGCCATGTGCCTTTCTCTGGATGTCCCTGAAGGAAAGGGCTTCAGCGTCATGGTGCTCATGTCTTCCCAGCATGGCTTTCTGGAATCTCTCTTCTATACTGCTGTTTCTTTTTGAAGGTGATTTTTTAATTATGTGTTTAGGAGAGAAATCTACAAGATATAAAGTTACATGTTTCTCATCAACAAAAGAAACATTCATATTGAAAAAGATGTTACTATTGCAAAAGTAATATTTGTATTAAGCAGACTTTTAAAACTTAAGAATAACCATAAAATTTACCCCAGATGGTGGTGAGGGTCTGTAATCCCAATGACTCAGGGGGCTGAGGCAGAAGGATATCAAGTTCAAGGCCAGCCTGGGCAATTTAGTGAGACTGTGCCTCAGAAAAAAAATGTTTTAAATGCCAAGAAAAGTAGTTTGGTATTAGTGCATTTGCCTACCGTATGTGAGGCCCTGAGTTCAATCCCCAGTAATTAAACAAAAACTTGATTAATAATACATAGACCTTGAGAGGGTGAAAAGATAAATTTTTACATCTCTGAAGAATAGAATGGTAAGTGGGAGAAGTTTGAAAATTTCCTGCAAGAGCTCACAGCATAGAAACTTTTGTTTTCCCACAGAAATCTTTCACCCGTGGAGTTTCTCAGACAACACTGGGCGATAAAGCTTCTACTGTGCACACGTGAGCTCTTACCTGGGTTCACACCTTTGACACAGCCCCACCCACTGGGATTTCTTGCTATTTTCACTTCATTCTTCAAGGTCCAGGGCTCTTTCCCTTCTTCCAACATGGAAATAACACCAAGGTCAGGAAGGAAGATCCCTGTTTATAAAAAGAAAGGAATCCCATCTGTTGTGGCTTCCCCAGAATCCTAGTCCTATGTGTACATGAGAGAGGATGTTATAGAGGGAGCCCGAAAAACACTTCACAAATCCACCCATTCGTTGCCTCCTTCTGACAACTGAGGGAATACTTTAATATAAGACCTCTAGCTCTTCCAAAAACTAATAAATCAAAAGCAAAGCAGCACAATGAGTTTATTTGCAGCTATTCAAGAGGCTGAGGCAGGAGGATCACAAGTTTGAGGCCAGCCTGGGCAACTTTGTGAGACCCTGTCTCAAAATAAAACTTAAAAAAATGTCTAGGAATGTAGCTTAGTGGCAGACCTAGCATGTGCAGAGCTCTAGACTCAATTCCCAGTACCAGGTGGGTGGAAGGAAGCAAGCAGAGCTAAATCTTCCATAGGGCCTGGGCTATCGGTCAGTGGCAGAGTGCTGGCTGAGCATGTGAGAGGCCATGGGTTTCATCCCCAGCACTACCACACACACACACACACACACACAAAAGTCTGCTATCTGTGCATACCTGAGCTGTGTAACCACCCAATCATGTATCATATTATGTAGGCAAAACATCTACAGAAATGAAGGAGAAAGGACCAGCACAATGGTGCACGTGTGCCTGTAATTCCAGCTAATTGGGAGGCTGAGGCAGGACAGCCTCGGCAACTTAGCAAGGCCCTGTCTCAAAAAAGTAAAAAGCACTACCATCTAGCTAAGTGGTACAACACCCCTAAGTTCAAACGCTAGTATGAGAGTGGGCGGGGGGAGGGAGGGAGGGAAAGAGGGAGGGAGGGGGGAAGGCTGGGCTGTAGCTCTGTGGCAAAGTGGTAGAGTGCTTGCCTAGTATGTGCAAGGCTGTGTGTTTGATCCCCAGCACTGTAAAAAATAAAAAGATAGGTTAAGAGTCATAGGAAATAGCTGGCCATGGTGGTGCATACCTGTCATCCCAGTAACTGGGGAGGCTGAAGCAGAGAATTTTAAGTATGAGGTCAGCCTCAGCAACGTAGTAAGACCCTGTCTCAAAATAAAAAGTCAAAAAGATAGGGTTATAGCTCAGTGGCCAAATGCTAGTGGTGAGGAAGAGGAGGAGGAGAGATGGTTAAAGTCCAGAGGCTACATTAGGAAGATTTTCATTTCTGGGTCAACAGAGCTTCAACTTTACTCAAGTAATAAGCAGCTCCCCCGAGGCATGTGAAGGAAAAATGCAAAGGTACACAAGACAGATCCAATCTCAGGAGAGATCACGCTCACCCAGGGAGACCAGGTTCCTGTAGTTCTCCAGCATCACGTCCCTGTACAAAGCCCTTTGTGTGGGGTCCAGGCACTTCCACTCCTCCTGGGAGAATTCAATGGCCACATCCCTGAATGCCAACTGTCCCTAAAATAAAAAATACGTTTCATCAAGAAGACACGCAGATAGTTATCATCTCCACATAAAATGGGATGAGAAGAGAACTGTAAGAAATCTCCTGGAGTGAGCCTACCAGACCCAAGCTGGGATGCTATGAAATGCATACTTGACCTCTATATTTGCAGATGCACAATTACTTGGATCTCTAAAGTGATAAGGGAGGCTACAAGCCCCTAGACACTTCAGGACTGGGACTGGTCACTGGAAAGATCCAGGCAGGATTTGTGGATCAGAACTTCCAGCCTTATTCCCAGACCGCCCATGAGGGGACAGGGGCTGAAGGTTCAGTGGCGCACCAATGGCCAATGATATCAGCAATCATGCCTGGTAATGATGCCTCCATAAAGCCCCCAAAGGACAGGATTTGAAGAACCTTCCGGCTAGCTGAACATGAGAAGGTCCTCAGAGGAGGGATCGCCCAGCGAGGGGACGGAAGCTCCAGGTGCCTTCTCCTACACCTTGCCTTATGCACCCTCCATTCGGCTCTTCATCTGCATCCTTGATAGTATGTGACAGGGTAAGTAAGCGTATCACTCAGTGCTGTGAGCCACTCCAGGAAATTAACCAAACCCGAGGAGGGAGTCCTGCAAACCTGTCACTCAGAACCACAGGCATCTGATATGAGGGCACCTGAGGGACTGGGCCCGCCCCCTGAGGGATCTGAGGCTACTCGTCAGAATCCAATTGAATCAAAGGACACAGAGCTGGTTTCTGCTGCAGAATTTCTTGCTGGTTGTGTGGGGAAACCCCACACATTGGAGTCACAGAAGCTTTCTGGGTGGTGGGTGTACAGTAGGAGAAATTAAAAATTTGCTTTTACGATATCCCCGTACATATAAAAGTACATTTGAGCAACATTATGTCTCCCTAATTCTGTTCCAGTTTATTTTTCCACAAGAGGTTATACCCTGTATATATATATACCCTGTATATCTACCCTGTATATATACCCTGTAACACGAAGGTCAGGAAGGAAGATCCCTGTTTATAAAAAGAAAGGAATCCCATCTGTTGTGGCTTTTCCAGAATCCTAGTCCTATGAGTACATGAGAGAGGATGTTATAGAGGGAGCCCGAAAAACATTTCACAAATCCACCCATTCGTTGCCTCCTTCTGACAACTGAGGGAATACTGTATATCAGTGTGGATTTCTCATTTTTATGGATAATGTAAGAAGCACATAAATAAAAAGCCAGATCATGGCTGGGATGTGGCTCAGTGGCAGAGTTCCTGCCTAGTGTGGACGAGGCCCTGTGACAGATCCCCAGTACCCACACAAAGCAAAAGCCCAACTCAGGCTGACCTCCATGGAAGCATTAGTTATGACATCTGCCACACCATGTGATGTGCACTCAACACCTAGGTGAGCTATGGCATGAGCCCTGTCTTCAGAGACGACAGTCCACAGAGGCTTCCAAAAGTCAGAATCTAAAACTGTGAAAACAGCAACAGCAGTGCCTAAAGCTTCTAAATGCTGGCTATTATGATTTGTGTGTGTGTGTGTATGTGTGGGTGTGGGTGGTGCTGGGTGTGTGTGAACCAGGGCCTTGAGCATACTGGGCAGGCATTCTATCACCGAGCCACATCCCAGCTACACACAGGGTGTTCAACACGCCTTCCGTGAAGTAACACCTATGGCGACCTAAGAAAGATTCATTCCCATCTTCCTGAGGAAACAACTGTGTCACAGATACTGAAGAAACTCTGCTCAAATCAAAGAGCTGAGCATGGAAGAACGAGTACCTGACCCAGATATCTAAGAACTGGAACTAAACCTGAAGAATTAAACAGTTAAGTAGCAGAGCATCAGAAGTGAATAAACAGTACGGGAAGTGAGGGACGTAGAAGCAAGTTCAAGCAGAGCAATGTGAACTTCTGCATGCATGCACACGTAGCCACATAAGACTCCCATTCCTACCAATGTCAACTTGTGAACATGAGAGGGGACAGAGAATGCAAGACCACAGAAAATACGATAAATCAGGTAAAAACATACAGCTGTCTTTGATAAACAGCATACACTTGCACATCCATGTATGCAAGACAAATATACACACACACACACACACACACACACATACTTATATCAAATGAAATAACAGGACTTGTCTCTCAGTGATAATTGTCCCAATACTTTTCATCACCACTGTTCTCACATGCATGTTCGCATGTTTGGGACAATAAAAATATATAAATCATCCTGAGTTTTGTTTATAAACATTGTCCATTAAGCCATTAAGACAGGACTATACAGGTTGGGCGTGTAGTCAGTGATAAGAGTGCTTGCTTAGCATGGGCAAGGCTTGGGGCTCAATCCCTAGTACTGCCCCCTCCAAATAGGGGAGAACATGTAACAAACAAACAAACAAACAAAAAAACAAGAAAAAGAAAGAAATTTGAACTCTAATCTCTATGAGTTACTAACATTCAAAACTAAGAAAACAACTTCATCAACTTAAAATTAGATATTTAGGCAATTATCAATAGAATTTTATGCCTGACTAGTAAAACTGTGACATAACAATTAGGAAACGCTACTGTTACATATCAATTTAACAGACTAAAATAAGAAAATGTATCACCGCAAAACATACTTTCAGAAATCAATGGATCTTTAACAATCAGCACAAAAAGTAAATGTGAAGAAAGAAGTGACATTAAGCAGGAACAATTTACCCTACAGCACAATCAGCATTTCCTCCAAATAAAGGCAGAGAAGAGATGGACTAGCAGCCAGGGCTTTGTCTCGTTCACTATCAGGCAGGCTGCATGAGCACGGGCCATAAAGAGGAAAAAGGTGGAAACAAAAGAGGTAAAGAAGACAGCAGAGATCTGGATCTGTTACAACACATGACATGACTGCAACACAGAACAGTGGAAAACAGACTTCCTTCCTTAGTAGCCCTTATTAACACACATGTGCACATACAAAACATCCTGCACCTCCTTTGGCAAAGATACCAGAGCACCAAATTAAAAGACTTACCCAAAGGACTTAAAGTGAGCATACTACAGTGACATGGCCGTGTTAATGTTTATAGCAGCTCAATTCACAATAGCCAAGCTATGGAACCAACCTAGGTGCCCTTCAACAGTGAATGGATAAATAAGCTGTGGTATATATACACAATGAATATACCAGTCATAAAGAAGAAGGAAATTATGGCATTTGCCAGTAAATAGATGGACCTAGAGGCTATCATGCTAAGTAAAATAAGCTAATCCCCCCAAAGCAAATGTTCTAATATGCAGATGCTAACACACAACGAGAGGGAGGGAAAAATAGTAGTTCACTGGATTAGACAAAGGGAAAGGAGGTGGGATGAGAACGGGAAAGACAGTAGAATGAATCGGACATCACTTTCCTATGTTCATATATGAATACATGACCAGTGTAAAACTCCACATCAAGTACAACCACAAGAAAGGGAAGTTACACTCCATATCCGCATGATATATCAAAACATACACTCTACTGTCATGTGCATCTAAAAAGAACTTAAAAAAAACAAGACTTCCAGGATCTCCCTCATGGTGACACAGACCAACAAGGATCTAAAAGCCACGTGGATTCAGTGGTGAACCACTTAAGAGGCTGGGATTCTCACTGCAGGGCCAGATAGACAGTTTATGTCCTCTGCCTACTGAAGCCCTGACCCTCTCAATTTCTCCTGGGGCAGGGAGGGCAGGGGAGCATCCACCTAACATAACTTTGGGGGGAACTGCCTGAGAGACTGTGTTCCGCCTTCCATGAACCTAAGCAATAAAGAGACAGGCATCAGGTGGGGAAAGGCACGAAGACAGAGAGTCCCCATTAACCATGTCTAGAGTGTCCCTGGTGGAAACAAGGTGGAAATCCAGAGGATGGCTGACTGAGATACCAGAGAGGGAACAGAGCAGCAGGAGGCAACAGGAGAGCCCCTGGGTAGAAACTGCAAAGCTTCTTCTACAAGACTGCAAGCAAAAGCACAGAGACGACAGATCCTCCGCCTCTAGCACAGATCACTTCCCTCAAGGAAGCCAGACACCAAAACCTGCAAGGTGATTGATTTTCAAACTGCTGGAGTCCAAGCACAAGACCACCAGCCACACAAACAGAAAGAAAACATGGCCCCCATAAGCAGAAAATTAAATAGCCACAAACCAACACTAAAAAATTAGAGATATGTAAACGACCAAAGAATTAATTCTGAGAGTTATAACAGTGCTCCAACGAAATAAAAGCAGAAACACAAAATCAGAAAACCAATGAATGGATAAAATGAGAATATTAACAGAAACTATGAAGCTGGGCAGGTGGCACACGCCTGTAATCCCAGTGGCTCGGGAGGCTGAGGCAGGAGGATTTTGAGTTCAAAGTCAGTCTCAGCAACTTGGTGAGGCCATAAGCAACTTAGTGAGACCTTGTCTCAAAATAAAATAAAAAGAAAGGGTTAGGCATGTGACTCGGGGGTTAAGCGCTCCTGGATTCAATCCCTGGTACCAAAACCAACCAACCAACCAACCAACCTACAGGGAAAAGTAGAGCAAGAAAGAATGACAATGAAGAAGGGCAGAGTGTGGAGGCATATACCTATAAGCCCAGCTGCTTAGGAGGCTAAGGCAGGAGGATTAGAAAGCTTGAGGCCAGCCTCAGCAACTTAGCAAGACCCCATTTCAAAAATTAAAAATTAAAAAAGGAGAGGTCCCAAGGGACTCACAGGATACCCCCATATGTACTCCAGAAGAGGAGGAGAGAGAGAGGTGGAGAACCTATGTGACAACAATGATGGCCAACTATTTCCAAGATATCTGAGATACAGATATATATAGCCAATAAGCTTCAAGATACAGGGTGACATGAGCAGGGTCCTGCGTTCAATCTCCAAGCAAAAAGTATCAACTTGCAACCATTCAAATTTTCTTCTCTATCTAGAATAAATGCAGAAATTAGTAGCACAAGAAAAATGAAAATCCACAAATATAAATGCAAATTAAATAACTTCTTATGTGGATGTCCCAGGGGTATTCTACCACTGAGCTACCTCCCCAACCTTTTTTTTTTTCCTTTTTCTTTTTGAGATAGGATCTCACAAATTACCCACAAATCATCCTCCTTCCTCAGCCTCCTGTGTCATTGGGAATACGAGCATGCACCACTGTGCCCAGCTAAATAACATTTGCTTAATCAGTCAATGAGTCAAAGGCAAAAGGGGGAACTAAAAACAAGCGAAAAAAATCATTGTTCTATGCGACCACCATTATTCTGATGTCAAACTCAGGCAAAGGAAAAAAACACCACAGATCAATAACTCCAATGAATATTGATGAAAAATTCCTCAACAAAATCTAAATGTATAGGACACTGAAAGGATTAGACACTGTGACAGGTGAGATTCATTTCTAGGAACAAGGGTGGAGCAACTAATAAGGTCAACTGCACAACACATGACACTGACAGAGAGGACAAAACGCACGGGACCAAGTCCACAGATTCCGAAAACGCCTCAGAGCCAATGCCTCTCCTGGCACAAACACTCAAGGACCAGGCACAGAGAGAACGTCAGGACAGTAAAGTTAGCTATGATTTCTTGGATACAGCATCAAAAATACTGGCAAATGGAACGACTTACAGCTGAAACACTGTTGTACAACAAAGGACGCTGTCAAGAGTGAAAACACCTAATTATATTGTGTAGAGAAGAACTAACACAAATCTGAAAATAAAAAGATAACAGAGGGGGGATCTAGAAACTGCCCACGAACCTCTTCTGATATATACGATCAGCAACTTTAAGCTGAATCAGGGAGCCTGGGATGTAGGTTAGTTTTAAAAGTGCTTGCCTGGCAGGCACAAGGCCCTGGGTCTGACCCCACAAACAAATGACTGAAGAAATAAATAAGATTGAGAGATAAGACAGGTATAGTGGCACACACCTATAATCCCAGCAGCTCTCAGGCTGAGATGGGAGGATGGCAAGTTCAAAGCCATTCTTAGCAACTTAGCAAGGCCCTAAGGAATTTAGTGAGACACTGTCTTCAAATAAAATATAAAAAAAAGGCTGGGGATGTGGTTCAGTGATTTGAGTTCCCTGGGTTCAATCCCTGGTACAAAAAAAAAAAAAAGAAAAAGAAAAAAAGAAAGCTTCACCAGGCACAGTGGTACACGTTGGTAATCCCAGCTACTTGGGATGCTGAGGAAGGAGGATTGCAATTTTGAGGCCACTGTGGGTAACCTAGTGAGACCCTGTATGGAGAGCACTGGGAATATAGCTCAGAGGTACAGTACCCCTTTGTTCAATCCACAGTTCCAAGGGGGACCCTGCAGAACATCTTTGATCACTGTCTCACTATCTTTCTATTCCCAGTCACTGAGATTTTGGAATCCAAAACACTGTCTCACTGGATTATCTATAAAAGCGATATATTAAGCAGTGCATATTTCCCTTTATAGTTCTCCTTTTCTGGAATTTAAAAGCATCTGTGCGCATTAATATGTGATTTCAAAGTGCAGCTTTTTTCACCCACATCGAGAGGCAGCTGACAGTGTATCCAGATATGCCCTAATGATCCCTGCTGCCCAACAGGACTGACACACAAGCCCTCACAGGCCACAACCCTGCCAGGCTGTGAAATCCTTCCCAGGAACACAACAGTGGTGCCTCTTCATGGGTTCCCTGCCACAGGTCTCAGTGGGATGGAATCTGAGCACAGAGGATGGGGGAAGGGAGGCCCCGGGGGAGTGCAGGCACACCTGACAGGCAGGAGGCTGCAGAGTCACCTGAGGCCAGCAGCTCCCAGGCCCAGCACTGCACAGGGGACTCAGGACCACCTGAGAGCATCACTGTACCTCAGTGACAGCCATTCCTGACTCCTTTTCTTTCCTCCTCCTCTTCAGGGCTGTTTCCTCAGGTAACACGAGTCTTTACAAGTCAATCCTGGAAGGAGGAAACATACTGTTTAAGGCTCAGAATCAACACATCCTTCCTATGCCACAGCCACACACACAGGGAGGACCTCAGCATGTGAGAAGATGGTCCCTGGCTGCCCACCCTTCCAGGCTGACCCAGGCACAATACACCCCTGGAAGAAGGCCCAGAGGAGACATCTCTGACTCCTTTCTTTGGGCCTGGTCTCCCTCCTGGTGAAGCCCACACACAGGCTGCAGCAGTGGGGAGCTGGGCAGCACTGGGCTCCCCTTCAGGGCACAGTCTGGCTCTCACCAAACTGAACTACAGCATAGCCCCCCTCACTTCCCCTGGGATCTCAGCCCTCAGGATGGAGGACACAGAGCCAGGTACACAGCTCTGGATGTGGTGGTGCATGCCTGTAATCCCAGTGACTTGGGAGGCTAAGGAAGGAGGATTCAGCAACATAGTGAGGCCCTACACAATTTAGCAAGAACCTGTCTCAAAATAAAAAGGGCTGGGGATGTGATGTGCCTAAATGGTTAAGTGCCCCTATGTTCCATCCCCAGCACCATAATAAACAAATAAATAAATAATAAAAGGACTGAGTACTCAATGCTGCACACAGAAGAGAATCAACCTTACTTATTAAGGCTGTGCACCCATCAATGAGATGTCCAGTAGGTGGACAGACTGCTTGCAAAATGCCTCAGCACTCATGGGAAGCCAACGTTGAGCACCTCCCGGAGGGGCAGGCCCAGCCCACCACCCACCTTCTGGCTCTGCCCATCTCTTGGACCCTTGTTCTTATCAGGGTCCAGGTAGTGGACAGTAAAGGAGGAGAAAGAGACAGACACAGCAAGCTGCATGGACCAGAGTGGGGGCAGGTTGTGGCTGGAGTGTGACAGGAGCTGGGGGCGATCAAGGAGTCTCCATGGAGCAGGTGATGTCATAGACCTGAGGGGTTGGCCACCTGCAGCCCAGGGGCCATGTAGAGGGCTAGGTAGAGAGACAGGACCCAGTGAAGGCCCTGAGGCTGGAGCAAGCTCCGGCCAGGAAAAGGAAAGAGGCCCCTGTGGCTGAAAGTGAGCAAGCAGAGGACACAGCAGGAGATGAGGGCAGAGGCCCTGGGGAAGCAGAGCAGGTAGGACTGAGGTCTGACATTTCTATTCACCTAAATGAAGTTTAAAATCCATTTCCTCACCTGTCTTAGGTAAACATACAGTTTATTCTTTATTTTGTAACTTAAAACATACTGTAGTATCTTCAATATTGTAGATAATAAGCAGAGATGTTCACCTAAGCCCCAGGAAGTACAAGGCCACCCTACCTGAAAACGTTGAAGACTACAGGGGGCCTATCTGGCTCTTCACCTGTATCCCTTATAACAAGTGGATAAACTTTATCAAGTGTTCCCTGCACGCTGGGTGTTGAACTAGAAAAGTAATAGAAGCTTAGCAGGCGTCATGGGAATCCAGGATGTATATCCAGTTGACTAAAGTCCAAGTTCCAACCTGATCATGAGACTGGCATCTAAACTGGGGGGCAGTGCTTCTATACTGAACCTTCAAACGGTGGCATCTGATCGTATCTCCAGGCAGTGAATGCCAGATCTCAGTTAAATTACAGAACACTAAATTGTTGTCTTAAGGAGAACTGCTTATGAATGGGAAGAAATCCCCACATATTTTATGGTACTGGGAATTGAATTGACGTGTGCTCTACCACTGAGCTACCCCCAACCCGCAACCCTTTTATAAATTTTCAGACAGTCTGCCTACATTGTTGGGGCCTTGACCTTGAGAGCCTCCTGTCCTGAGTAGGAATTCTGGTTTTTCTTTGTTATCTCACACTCACCCACACTACACTATCCCAGGAAAACAGAAGAGACCGACCCCAAACTGAATGGGTCAGACCCTGCCTTCTGGCTGAATATGGAAGTTATTTGTACCAATAGTTTTAAAATAGACAAATCCAGACAGTTTTGCAATTGTTATCCTCATGTAAAGACATAATTTAAGCACAAATTTTAATTTTTTGAATTATAAACATAGACATCATTACACTTCAGCTTCACCATGCCCATCTAATCAAGTCACCATCTGCACCCGGGTCCCCATCTTCATTGCTGCTTCCCTCCCTCCCTCTCATCATCTCCATTCTCACCTCCACTCTCATTTCTTCCCCCATCCTGGGTCCTGCGCACTTTGCTTCCCTCTCCTCTCCTGGTTTCTCCCCCTCTTCCCTCTACTCCTTCCCTCCATCTGATCTTCCCCATTCCTGCAACTCCCTTCACCTCCAGTCAGTCTTTCTGCCCAGTCCCTGACTGTCCCCAATCTCCACAGATCTCTGCCTCTTTCTTCCCCATCTACAGGCTCCCTCTGCCCTGCCTGCTGCAGGCCCCTGTCCCCATGCTCTGAACACCCACATCCCTTCCTGAAGTGCTCCTCCCTGGGCTCCCCTTGTCACATGTTACCCCTCTTCTTGTCCCAGTACCACAGTTCCCCTCTGCCATGCAGATTATCTGTCCTCTCCTCCCATGCTCTGCCAGAGGTCCCTCCAGGTTGTATTTTTCCCTGAGTGGCTGTCCTTCACCTCTGTGGAGATTGCGATTCTAGATTTCTTCTCTCTGCTGCTTTATGGCCTCTTCTTTCACTCTTACGCCCTCTCTCTGCAATCCCTTGCCATCTGTGTTAAGGGTCTGTTTTCCCTTTTCTCTCATTTCTGGTCCATCTCTTTCTTCTGAGCCCTCTGCCCACCTCCAAAGGAGCACATTTTCCCTGGGAATCTGGGGTGTGAGAATCCTGGAAGTCACCACCCAGGCCCAGGTCGCCTCCTCCAGAGTGCAGGGTGACTATGGAGGGAAGACCTGCAGGGGCGTCACCTGGCTAAGGAGGACAGGTTCTGGGGAGGAGGACAGGGCCAGGAAGATAGGGCTGGGTGAGGACAGGGCCTGGGGAGGGGGACAGGGTTAGGTGAGGACAGGGCCCGGTGAGAAGGACTGGCAGGGTCTGGTCAGGGGAGGGCAGGCCCGGCTTGGCACAGGCTGGGCTGTAGACCTCAGTGGCCAGGAGGATCTGCGGAGGAGCGCGCAGGGCGGGCTGGGCGTGCAGCGCCGAGGACCCGCGAGCTGGGAAGGCCACCGTCGGCGGGAGGGAGCGGCGCCAAGCGGAGCGTCCACGCGGCCGGGCTGGACACCTGTGGGACCCGCGCCGGGGCTTCAGGCCGACCCGGTTCTCCCGCAGAGATGGGACTGACTCGGGGTGGAGGGCGCGGTGCGGGGACGCAGAGGTCTGTTGGGACCCGCGTCCCGGCCACGGGCGCGCAGGGGACCGTGAAGTGCCGAGATCATAGAGCAAGGGAACTCACGAGCCAAGCTGTGACCTTCATTCCGCGATCCGCTTCCGGGTCTGCCGGGAGCCCCGCGGGCAGCCGGGAGGAAGCGTGGGCGGGACCGGGACGTGATGGGCAGGGCCGAGCCGTGGTCAGGACACGCGAGTGGATCCGCGAGTGGATCCGCGAGTCCAGGCGGGGCGGGACCGCGTTGGTGGGCGGGGCGTGACGGAGGGGCGGGGCCAGGGAGGGTGGGCGTGGCGCGTAGGAGGCGTGGCTGGCGGGATGCTGTGCCTGAGACCGCGGTGATGGGCGGAGCCTGACGCGGAAGAAGGGGGCCTGCGGAAGGCCCTCCCGGGACCGCGCCTTGGGCAGGCGTGACGGGCAGGGGGCGGGGCTAGCGGGAGGCCGCGCCTGGTCTGGGGCAGCCTGAAGCAGGGACCTGGCAAGGCAGGTCTTGTGGTCTTTGGAGACAGGGAGTCACTGAGTTGCTTAGGGCCTCACGGATGCTGAGACTGGCTTTGAACTCACAGTCCTCCTGCCTCAGCCTCCGGGAACCACTGGGATTAGAGGCATGCATCACCGCACTGTGCTCTTTTGTGCATGTTTCTAAAATCACTGCCCTTATCCTGGGCGTTGGAAGCCTGACCTCCCCCGGAGGCTGAGGAAACTGAGGTCTGCATACAGATCTCGCGGGCGGGTGAGGGGGCAGGATTAACTAGGAGCGGCCACTGGATCTACATAATTCCCACGTTTAGAAATTAAGTCACTTAAAAAACAAAACAACAACAAAAACAAACAGGAAACCGGGCGTGGTGTCACATACCTTTAATCCCAATATCTCTGGAGACTGAGGCAGGAGAATTGCAAATTCAAGATCAGCCTCAGCAAATTAGTGATGTGCACCGCAATTTAGCAAGACCCTGTCTCAAAATTTTAAAAAAGAGCCCATTAAGTGGCTCAGTGGTAGAAGTGCACCCAGGTTCAATCCTCAGTACAGCAAAACAACCACAACGACAGAACAATAACAATAAAATACTGAAATAAAGGAAACTTTGTAAATGGTGAACAAGGGAAATACATGGGGCCAACTCTGCCTGGTAGCTCAGTTCGCTTAATCCTGGAGCACAAGGAAGATCACATTGGTCTGTTTTTGTTATTGTTGTTGTTTGTTTTTGTTGTTTTTCAGAATATCAAGGTTGATGTCATCTAGTCAATAGATAATGTTTCAAATATACTCATAAGTCTCTAGCAATATTTTACCTTGGCCTTATTTAGTCTAAATAAAATATGTTGCATAAAAACAGCTGAAAAACCAGCCTCTACCTCAGAGCAAAGCCTGTCCAAGGAAGGGACATCACCTTTGTCCTTGGAAAAACCCACAGAGCACTCCTAGGCACATTCCCACCCTGCTAAGTTGTTTATCTACAAATAACAGGAGAGATCTGCTGTGCCAGGTGTCCCTGACTCAGTCAGGCTAGGTGGGGATCCATAGCAACCCCCTAGCAGCCACCAATCAGCATGAGACAGGGAAATACCTGGGATGTCAGATGACCCTCCCAGTAGTTTATGGTGGTTGATAACATGATGGGAAACCATGTAGTTCAGCACGTACACCCCTCTTGGCTTAAATCAATCAGTTCAAATGAATACCCCTTTTGTACTGACCAATCACCCCTCCCCAACTTGTTCCCGCCAGTGAATGTGCTAATCATGTTTTAGAGTTGTTATTTGGTTTTCCTGCGGTGTGTGATGATTTGCTAAGAGATGCTATGATGTATGTGAAGTCCCTGCCTTCTCCAAAGAATGTGTAAAACTGCTGCAAACCCTGGGCTTGGGGCCTCTTAGCGTCGCCAGTTGCTGTGTGTGCGCGGAGGACCAAGCTAGCTCGCAATAAACACCTCTTTGCTGCTTACATCGATCTTGGGTCTCTGGTGGTCTTTTGGGGGTCCCGAATTCGAGCATAACACAGCAATGCACAGAGGCATGAAATAAATTCAAATGTTGAAAGTAAGTCGTACGTTTTCCCTACTCGTTCATCTTAATATTTGAAGTATCATTGAATTTGATGTATTTAAAAGATGGCGCTATTTTGTTCTTTCTCCCCCCCCCCTTTTATTTTTATTTTTTATGGTGTGGGGGGATTGAACCCTGGGCCTTCTACACTGTTAGGCAAGAGCTGTCCTGCTAAACCACATCCCCTAACTGCTGCTTTTTTTTTTTTAGTTGTAGTTGGACACAATACCTTTATTTTACAGGGTGCTGAGGATCCAATCCAGGGCCCCACAGATGCTAAGCAAGCGCTCTATCACTGAGCCACAACCCCAGCGCCCCCTAGCTTCTTGATCACTTTTTTTTAGCAGGCCGTCAGCAGAATGGCAAAACACTTTGTGTTGGCAAAGGAGGGTATTTTCCAATGGCACTTGTAAATGCAGGGGTAGCTGTTTTTCGGTGAGATTATTTAAGTATTATACCACAAATCTTATCTCAGGGGAGAGATCAGACAATCTGGCATATACAAAAAGCTATGCCTTAACCTTGCTTTTCCTAGGTTGCACTCAAGGGTTTGGAGCACAGGATGTTGTTAAGCCTAAATAGTCATTCTTAGCTTTATCAGGATACTGTTGTGGCACATTAGTAATAAATCACTGGGTCAGTCTTATGGTGGGACAGGAAGCTTTATTGCTGGAGGCTGAGATGCAGAGATCTAAACCTCTTGCCACCCATTGACCCTAATTGAGGGTAAGGACAGGCTTATAAAGCTAAAAACCACAAAAGGGGTGGGGGAGGGGAAGAAGAAGCAATCATAATCACAAGATACATTTCATAAAAGTGGAAAATTACCAGATTGTATATAAAAAATAGTCATACTCACATAAATTACATTTTCACAAGGGAAGAAAAAGAAGAGACATGACAAAATCAAAACATTTTTCTGTTTCGATACTGTCAAAGCAGAAACTTCTGGTTAGCAGGTGAGGGGGGCAGATGTGGGTACCATTTGGGAAGGGGCCTGGGGAATTGGGGAGTATATAAAGTATACCTAAGTAGGGTATCTGAACAAAAGGAAGTAAGTCTGGTCAGGATTTTTGAAATGAGCTGGTAACAAGATAACAATACCATCCATCAGCTTTAAATGAGTTCCCACTGTGGATTGTGCCCAGAGGCTCTTGCTGGACTTTTATCTTATGGTAGCAGTCATTGGATCTATGAGGTCCTTACATTTAAAAATACACAGGCATAAACTGATTTTCAATGGAGGTGTTGCAGGACTGGAACCTTTTGGGAAACTGAGGCAGTGTGAAAGCGATAAGTCCTGCTTCTTCACTTATTGAAGTATAATTAGAGAAGCACCCTGAGGCAAGCATATAAAGCAAGGCTTATTTAAAAAGGGGTAACATAGACTTCTCCCACCGGAGAAGGGGGTCACAGCTGGTATCCTGGTGTCCCAAGTGTTTTGCCTTTTTATATGTCCTAGGCTTCCTTTGTTCTCCTGCTCTCTTCCTCTCCCTCTCTCCTTCCTGTGTATGTGATTAGGCTTAGGAGATGCTCAGATGGGATGGCCAAAAGGCAAGAAGCAGATAGGTTGGAGGAGCCAAGTTGGGGTGTAATCAACAACTCCCTATTGGAAGGGACAATCCCTGAGACCGGTTTCCCTAGCAATAGGTTGGAGCAGGGGCAGGTTATCTTGAGAAGGGTGAAGAAAGGGCTCTGAAGGAAGCCTCTGAATTCAACCCTTGCTTGTGTGCCTGTCTAATTCCAGTTCCAAAAGCCTCCCCTCAAACCCCAGTTCTTGTGATCAAGTCAGATAGTTTCTGTTCCTCCAGGACTTTATATACTTGAAAGGTAATATTAACTAGCTGTAAGGTTTATGTCAATTGTTCGCTCCACCCACTGAAGCTTCTTCCTTATGTCTGGGGTACTCTATTCAAGGAAGGTCATATTGAACCATGGGGAGATTTTCAGGGACCTCTTGCAGAAGGGCCATGAGGCAGATGCCTGCATATATAGGGACTCTCAGCTACCCCCTGCCTTTCCCTAGATTCCCTGGCCTTGAGTTACAGCCAGGGCCTGGGGAATTTGGGAAAGGCTTGTCTCTGGTGCTGAGGGCAGACAGGTGGCACTGTTATGTCAGATTCGTGGGACCCCAATAGACCTCCAGGAGCCGAATCCGATGCAAGCACACAAGAGTCTTTTTTGCAAGCTCGAGCCTGGACTCACAACCATTCCCGATGCAGCCGTCCCAGGGAGTGAGTCCTGGTCCTTTGTTCAGTGAGATTTTATAGGTTTTGGGGGGATACTCTATGCGTCACAACATTACACAGCAAATCATTTCACACCTCGGGAAAGTCAAACAACAACTCTTAACATTGATTAGCACATTCACTGGCGGGAACAAGTTGGGTAGGGGTGATTGGTTAGTACAAGAGGGGGATTCCTTTGAACTGATTTTAGGCCACGAAGGGTGAAGTGTGTTCGTGCTAAACTACATGGTTTCCCAACATGTTATCAACCACCATAAACTACTGGGGGGTTATCAGGCATCCCAGGTATTTCCCTGACTCATGCTGATTGGAGGTTGCTAGGGGGGTTGCTATGGGTCCTCACCTAGCCTGCCTGAGTCAGGGATATCTGGTGCCACAAATCTCTCCTGTTATTTGCAGACAAACAACTCAGCAGGGTGGGCATGTGCCTAGGAGTGCTCTGTGGGTTTTTCCAA